CCCATTCTCCTTAGTAGTTTTGCTCAGAGCCCTGCCCTTGGTTTCATCTGGTTAATAGATGACCTCAGGTTTTTCTTTTCCCATCTTCCAGCTACAGTTCCAGCAGTGTGGCCAATGTGCATCGAGTTCCCGCAAGCTTCTTGCTACTCTGTAAAGCATTTTAGCATCATTTTTACTTAATTCACACCATTAATAGTCCTATGAAGTGATCTTTTCCTCACTTTCCCAGAAAGGGAAACGGAATTCTCCAAGGTCACATAGCTGGTGAATAAGGGACAGGAATACACCCAGCTCTTCCCCTTACCTTTGCTCTTTTAGAGCAGTGGTTCTGAACTTTAGCATGCATGGAATCACTTAAAAGACACATAAGAATGAGCAGGGCCTGACCTGCAAAGCTCTTATTTAACAGGGCTGAATTTTCATTTCTAATAGGTTCTCAGTTGCTGATAGTGATGCCAGCCTGGGAACCTCACTTTGAGTACCAGTATCCTGGACCGTGCTGCTCCCATTAACCAATACATCATATTTCTTGAGCGCCTACTATGTTCTTAGCCCTGGACCTGAAAAAGTCAGGGGGAAATGCTAAGTAGTGTCAGGGACAGGGGGTAAAACCATGTGGCCTGGCTAGCAGGTGAGGAAGCAGGCAAGTAAGAACAGAGGCTGGAAGAGGCAAGGCCGGGGCTGGGCCTTATGAGATTTGGGGAGCTAGGAGGACAGCAGCAGGGACTCAGGGAGGAAATGGTCAAGGAGTATTTGGGAAAAGGCAAAGGACACTGGGGGAACTGGCCTGTGAGGTCAGGAGGCTTAATAATGATGATTATGATGATGGCAGCTACCATTTACAAAGCCGTTACCACAGGCTGCCAAGCACGGCAAAGCTCTCCACAAACATTATCAAATTTAATCCTCCCAACAAGGCGATGATGCAGTTACTATAGCTCCACTTGCAGCCACCACTCTTCTGCTGCTTCTAGATCTGGATCCAAGTGTCCAGCAATGGGACTGAAGCTAGACACACAGATGTCACCTGACTTGCTAGACCATGTCTCTGGGGCAGAAGGAGAGAAATATGAGTTGGAACGTGACATGTCAGCCTCTCGCCAGCTCCTCTGCCTGCCACAAGCACATGCTTACACTGACTAGAATGTGGAGGACATTTTTCAGTTTTTTAAAGCAATTTTAAAGAAGGATTCATTTTTAAGTCAGAAATGCTTGACCACTTGGTCCTGTCTAAACAGATGAGCAGTTGCCTTGAAGGGAGAAAAATTAAAGAGACATTTCCATGATTGCAGGGCCAAGGTGGCCAAGATCAATGCCTCAGCAAGGGCTTTCCACATTATGTCGTGTGGAACACCTGCCAGCAGGATGTCCCTCCATAGAAAGGTTTTACCGCCGGTGCATAAGATTTTGAAAGGCTGCATCTGTGTCCCCTCCTCCCACCTTGGAGTCACAAAGCATCTTTCCTATATTAAAGTTTTCGTGAAATTCTTCTGTGCAGAAACCAGCTTCTCTTCATTTTAATACCTCATTTTCCAAACTCACCTGACCAGGAGTCCATTTCTTAACCACTGAACATCCCACGGAGCTGAGCCCCACGGCAGACACAGTGGGGAGCCCTGGACTCTGTGAGTGCTGGCCGAGAAGACTAGAGGTCCTCACAGCACTGAGGGCAGCCTTCATCTCACCCTGCATCTATGGCCCGCAGGCTGTGTGGTGTGCACATGCTCACAGACAATTCCATAAGTCGGAGCTGAAGCTAAACAAGCCGCCAGGGAATGTACAGGGGATGGCATGTGACTGCTCCAGTCTGACTTATTATAGGAGGTCTGTCCGGAAAGTATCCAGCCATTATTAATATAACAGGCACAGTTGGTGGGACATCGATGTAACCTGCCAGCCAAGGAGAGTAGACTGGACTGCACATGCGTGAACAATCACACCCTCTCTGTACTAGTCAGTGGGGCACTAGACACTGTTGAGTGAGCATGTGTACTGTATGTCCATCTCATTCAAAATGACTGAGCGAGTAGAGCAACAAATCTGCATCAGATTTTGCATTAAGCTTGAACATTTCTCCACGAAAACTATTCGGATGATTCAGAAGGCTTTCGGGAATGATGCAATGAGTGCAGCACAAATAAAAGTGTGCCACAAATGCTCCGAAGATGGTTGAGAATCTGTTGAAAGTGACCACATTCTGGAAGGGATGCAACAAGCAGAACCCCCTGAGAATGTTGAACATGTACAGACAGGTTAGGTCAAAAGCCACTGGGAAAACTGCGTGAGGTCCCAAGGTGCCTACTTTGAAGGGAGGCGTCATTGTCCTATGTACAATGTGTCTTGTATCTTCTTCAGTAAATGTCTCTATTTTCATATTACATGGCTGGATACTTCCTGGACAGACCTCGTATAGCCCTGGGCCTAGAAAACAGTTACTGGCACCAGCAAAGGATCAGGGGGTAGTATGCAAGAGCCCTGGAAAACAAACTGCCTCAAACAGAGGGGACTTACCCAGCTGGATCCAAAAGCCCTGTGTCTCCAAGGGAAATTTAACAAGAGTCAGCAGTTATTAGTATCTTGGGCAACCACGGAAACTCACAAATGGGGGTGGTCTAACTGGGCTATTCAGAGCTTCTGGGCACAGCACTGGCTCTGGAGACCGTCCGTTCACATACCACCTCGATAGCTTCCTCACTGTATAATCCAGGGCAAGAGACACAACTTCTCTGAAACAGTTTCCCCACATATCCTGTGGGTGTGTTTGGAGAACATAGTGAGCAAGGTTTGCCAAGGGAGGTTCCACCACGGGCACCATTCCTGGTTGGTTCCCAATAGCGTCGTAATCGCTATCCCAAATGTTACCAAGAGCTCACAAGGCATGGCCCACATGGCCCATGACTCACCTCACCTAAAATTCAGCTCACTGTGTTCCCCTATAAAACTAGTTCTCTCTTTAACTTCCCTGGCTCTCTCACCTTGGTCACTCAAGCTCAAAACCACCGTTTTCTCCTCTCAGCTTGATCTTTCTACACATCCATCCAATTACCAAGCCCCTGTGATCACTATTTCAGCTACGTATGTGTAGACAAGTCCCCAGCCACTCTAGGTTTTCACTTCCTCATCTCTGACATGATGAGTAGGCATTGAAACAGCAGCTATCAGATTTTACACCCTGGAAGTCTTTCTCCAAACAGCTGCCTAGGACAAAGTCCAAAATCTAAAATCACTGGGCTCTACCATCCAGAGATACTGGACCTTGGATAAGGCCCAGAAATCTGTAGTTTTTGCATTTCCCTGTGAAATCCTGAAGGGTAGCTAGCTTTGGGACCCACTGGTGAATTCTTAGACATGGCAGATACTCAATAAATGTTGGGAATGATAGGCGAGCAAGGCACTGGCATTCATGTGCCAGCTCACACCAACTTGAACGCATTTCTCTTTCTGACTTGGAAAACAGGCGCATGATCCTTTTACTTCCTGGACTATCTAATGCTACTTACAGTTATTCCCTCAGGCTCAAATCTGACTTTATACAATTTAGGGTCCAAAAGAGTATGCAAGGCCCTTCCCTATGCAGATGTGAGTCTATTGTGGGTTTCCTGCTGTGGCCAACCTCCTGGCCCAAAGTGAGGTTCAAGAGGCCAGCTCAGCCTCTCCTTGGTCTTCTGGGAGAAGGGGAGTAGTAGTGACCAAAGAGGAACTCAAAAGGAAATGGGTCAGAAAGGGTGAGGGAAGTAGCGCTTTGCTCCCATGGGAAGGGCAGCAGAGTTGTCACTCTCCAAATTGACAGGAGCTTCCTGAACTGCAGATACCTGCTCATCTCTCTCATGAGCACAATATAGTGTTTATCCCATGCCAGGCAGTGAAATTTAGTCACCTACTTACATTAGAGATAGGGCTGGAATTCTCAGAGAAATAGCACTCAATAAATTTGAACTGTTCTTACTCTTGAGTTCATTACTACCCTTGGGTTTTAATAGAATCAGTCTTATCATTTCTGAAAACCTTCTGGGGGATTTTCTGGAAAGAAAATACAGAGTTAGATTGGTAACCAAATATATCTGCAGCATTCACAGGCATAAAGGATATGATTTAAAGACTAAGAGCTTGATGATGTTCATCACAAGGATAGAAACGTAGCAGTCCAGAATTACCCTCTGTTTCTAGATCTATTCCACTAGACAACAACCTTTCGTCTTGGGTGACTGACATTTTATGCCGAACCAGAGATTAGCAAGTAGATGGGCTCGGCACTTAGCTTCTTGTAACATGCAAAGCTTGGGAAATCAAACACACCATTGGTTTGTTTGAAAGTTTTCCTAATGAAAACATAAATCGGGTGTCGGGCAGATGGGAGCAGGGATGTGGGGACAGGTGCACACGCATCTAATGGGTGCAATGTGCACCGTCTGGGGGATGGACAGGCTTGAAGCTCTCACTCGGGTGGGGCAAAGGCAATATACGTAACCTAAACATTTGTACTCCCATAATATGCTGAAATAAAAAAATAATAATTATTAACCTTTCCCTTAAAAACAACAAAAGAAAATCTCTGAGCAAGTGTTTATTGTCTACAATATGCATACAACTATACTGGGGGCTTATAACCGAGGCAGAACAGCCTAGCTAAGTAAGCCTCCAATCTCCTTTAAACGTGGAAGTTTGTAATGATCCCTCCCTGCTATGGACATTAACAAAGTTTCATCTTTGTCCATGATCAAGACTGGTGGTTTTCCAAGTCTTCTCTTTTAAACCATGAGATCTTTTTGTTCAGCAAACTCTTAGGAGGAAGCCCAGTGTGTCCAGTAGATAGAACAGAGCTGCCGTGGTGTGTGTGTGTGTCTGTCTGTCTGTCTATGTGTGTGTGTCTGTGTGTGTGCGTGTATGTGTGTATTGGGGAGCCGCAGCTCAGGAGTGAGCCCCACCTGCTATGTCGCCCTCCAACCAGGACTCCTGGGGAGGTGTGGAGGGACTCCTAGGTTTCCCAGCAATGGACTGAGATGTCCGACTTGGCGATATGTAAGACAACTCTTTGTTTTCCACTTAAGCAAAGAAAAGTGGCTTGTCCATGATCTGTGTTTCTGGTCCAGAATGTCTGGCCTTGTTAAAGAAATGAATGAGTCTGGCTGAGCACATCATAACCTCCGCAATTCCCTTTGCCAACAGATATTGATTTTGCCACCCGCAAGATTGCAGCACATCTGACTCAGACGAAGATCATTGATCAAGATGGTGATAACTTCAAGACGCAAACCAACAGCACGTTCCGCAACTATAACTTGGATTTCACTGTTGGGGTGGAGTTTGACGAGCACACAAAGGGCCTAGACAACCGGCTCGTTAAGGTATTGACCCGCCTGGTGTTTTTCACTCACATGCTCTGTGCAGAGGCTGGCTATTTGGCTTCATGATGAAACAAAATGACAGAAACAACCCCAGAAGGTCAGGAAAGGGGGCCAGAATAAACTTAATGATGCTGGCAAGAAGCATGTATTGAAAGTTTAGTAGGAAGAGGCAGGATAAGGAGAGATTAACATCCCAACCTCTCCAGGACGTGGGGCCTATGGGTCACCTACGGACCCGGGCCCAGCAGGCAAAGGGAAGAGGGTGAGGTGCAACGTCATGGGACAGCGACTGTGCCAGCTGGGTACAGCTTCGTGTCAGGGCCAGCTCTGCCCAGCTCCAGCCAGGCACTGCCATGGAGCAACAAGGCCTTGCAGTGCCAGATTTGTTTTTAAGAGATGTTGAGGAATCAGATGTTTTTATATAAAATATCTCAATTTTAGATAACCCCAACTTATTTAATTTTTAAAGAAAAGTATGATGCAAATCAAACAAAAAAAGAATCAGTAGACTAAATGAAGACAGGGTTTGTCCAGTCCTAGCAACTTGGAGAAGTCGTGGGCAAGTTTGAGGCTTCCATGCCAGCATTGCCTTAACTCACCAGATGTAACCTAGGCAATCCTCCATGCATCTGAAGGCAGGACTTGCAGCTATTTGAACTATTTGAACATAGGTAGGATCCTGAAAGCAATCAGAAGACAACTCTGAGCGGGGAATGGGGAGTTATCTCAAAGCCTTGAGTCTGCAGAAGAGGCAGGCCCTCCCAGGCAAAAGGGAGAAGGGGGGGGGTGCGGGGCAGGTGGGGCTCACAGCACCGGCACCCCAGCCCGGTGACCTGGCCCCTGCTCACATACCTGGTCAATGTGCCTGCCTTTGGTTTTCCAAATCAAATTACACCTGGTCAGTCTCCACCAAACAGGAATAGGGAGAACTCCAGCCTCAGCTGTATTTAAGGATTCCTTCATAAAGAACCCTGGGGATACACGTCCAGGAGTTTTGGAAGGGTTCCTGGTTTATCACGGTTGCCACTGATGGTTCACTGTCTGTGCCCATGCGGTTTATATGAGGGTGGGCAGTTTGGATATTCATAGGATCGTATCCCACTGTGCCACATCAGCCCCTGGAACATCTGTCCCTACTCACAAGCAGAGGGAGGGCAGAGCTAAGGACTCTTTCCCAAGACATCCATGCTCTCACCCCCTGCAAAGTGCCAGTCCCTAGGGTTCCAGGGTGCCACAAAGAAGCAGGACCCTCCACCCTGCCCCTCCCCTCTCACCATATGCCCCTACCCTCCCAGAGTCAGGCTACCACCCTCAAACTCTTGCCTTGTGCTTTTAAGAGCTCTTTCAAAGTCAGAGGACTTAACGCTCCCTCAAAGCAAGGGGCAAAAGCTCTGGCTTCTCTCCTGGGGTGGGGAGGAAAAGCTATTGTAATTCTTTGGTGATGACTCTAAAGCCAAGAAAACAAGACATTTCTCAATCAAGTTGCCCTACAGCATTGATAATCTCAGCCATTAAATCAAGGCTGAATTATGTTTAGTGTTCCTTACTAAAGAAAGTAGGGAAATGAAAAGCACTTTGGAAATTCTTCCATCAGAGCAGTCCTGGCATGAGAACACAAGCTTCCGGGCCCTGGAACACACACTTATAGACCCCCTCCCTGAAAGGGTGACGGATCCACGCCCTTTCTGAACCTCTGAACCATGTGGCTGAAAGGCAAATTCATCCAACACCAGAACTGCTGGGAAAATTTGTCTCAGAATTTTTGTATCCCTTTACTGTTCCAACCTAATCAATGCAAAAGGATTCATTTTCCATTATCTTTCAGTTTGGGGTATAAGCTCTTGGAAAAATAGGCCTGTCCTGTCTGACTTATTCCTTTGTCACCTTTGATGGCAGAGAACTTGCTCTTCCTGAAATAAATCATGCCCTTCCTGCCTTTCCCAACTCTGAAAGGACTCCACCTGTTAACACCACACCTACCCTTCTCCTGCCTCCTCCCTCTCCAGTCCCCTTCCTCTCTCCAGGATCAGCAGTCAGCCCTTCAGAGAAAGAGAAGCCTTTCCCACAGCTCGTCTCTTTGCCTGGAGCAGAAAGCCAGAGCAAACACACACACAGACACACACACGATGATCGGTGGTGGGCGAGAAGAGCCCAGGACAGTTTGCCCAGCTTCCAACAAAGGGCCTTTGCCATGAGGGCCGCAGTGCAGAGCAGTGCCCTTGGGCCTGCCTGCTTCCTGTAACTGGGCTGGAACCCTTCAGCTGGAAGAGGACGCCAGGGAGCGGGTGAGCCGCTCTCTCTGGTTAATTTCTATCGCCCACACTTGGTGGCATGCCTGAGTGCTCACACACATGTGTGTCTGTGTGCGTGTGTGTGTGCTGTACTCCTCATGCTGTTGTTCTCCAGGGCTCCACTTCTCAACTCCTCCGTCACCCTCAGGAACCCTCTGACCATCTCCCCACTCAGCAGTTTGGAGGAGAGGTGCGTGTTGCGCCCTCTAGTGTCCGGTTCTATGCCAGCCCAGCGCAGAAGCAATGAAACCATGTTGGTCATGGGGTCCGCTCTCCTCCAAGGGTCCTAGCACCCCCTTCTTCCTTCCTGTGGGTCATACATATTCCTAACTGCCTACCTTGACTTGTTTCTCAGAGGGTTTATGGCTCCTTTCAAAACTACACTAGAGGGCTGGGCGCGGTGGTTCACACCTCTAATCCTAGCACTCTGAGAGGCCGAGGAGGATGGATCACTCAAGGTCAGGAGTTCGAAACCAGTCTGAGCAAGAGTGAGACCCCATCTCTACTAATACTAGAAAGAAATTAATTGTAAAAATATAAAATAAAAATTGTTTTAACCAAAAAAAATAAAAATAAAAACTACACAAGCTACCCCAAAATAAAATTAAATTAAAAAGAAGTAATTGAGGCCAGGCGCAGTGGTTCACACCTGTAATCCTAGCACTCTGGGAGGCCGAGATGGGAGGATCGCTTGAGGTCAGGAGTTCAAGACCAGCCTGAGCAAGAGTGAGACCTGTCTCTACTAAAAAATAGAAACAAATTAGCTGGACAACTAAAAATATATAAGAAAATAATTAGTCAGGCACGGTGGCACATGCCTCTAGTCCCTCCTATTCAGGAGGCTGAGGCAGGAGGATCGCCTGAGCCCAGGAGTCTGAGGTTGCTGTGAGCTAGGTTGAAGCCATGGCACTCTAGCCCGGGCAACAGAGTGAGACTTTGTCTCTAAAAAAAAAAAGAAAAAAAAGAAGTAGTAGTTGATATTCATGTAACGGAATATGGAGTGTCCCGCAGCTGTAAGAAAGAATGAAGCCCAGTACTGATTCATGCTACAACATGGATGAACTTAGAAAATATGTTAACTGACAGAAGCCACGCACAAAAGGCCACATACTATATGATTTATGTGAAATATCCAGAAAGGCAAATTCATAGAGACAGAAAGTGCCAGGGGAGTTGGGGACAGAGGAAATGGGTAGTGACTGCTAACAGGTACAAAGTTCCTTTGGGGGATGATGAAAATCACCTAGATTTAGATAGTGGTGATGGCTTAGTGCACAACCTTGCGTACTAAAAACTACTGAATTGTATACCTTAAAAGGGTGAGCTTTATGGTTTGTGAATTATATCTCAATAATAAAATAAGTAATTGAAATTGGGGGCAGACAGTAAAAGCAGGGAAACGCAGGTACAGACGACCACAGTTAGAGCCAACAACGCTGCTGTGGTGCCAGGAGAAGGCAGGAGCGCGGGGAGAGGGGAGGCAGGTGGGCAGGGAATCTGCCTGCTCCGGCAGGTGGCGCTCGGGGAGGGAAGAACTCTTCTGGGGAGACAAGAGCGTAGATGGGTTAAGCATGTTAATCGATGCTCTGAATTTAAAGAGCTGTTCTTTTCCTTTCAAAAAAAAAAAAAGCTTATTGGGGAGTGATTCAAATTTACAGAAAATTTATAAGAATGTAACAGCAAACACCTGTATATTCTTCACCAAGGGTTACCTAGCGTTAACATTTTGCCCTGTTTGTTTCATCGTTTTCACATGCTTTCTCTTTAATAGGCATATATTTTGTTTCTGAAAAACCTGATGGATTACCCCTACTAAATAATTCAGTATGTATTTTCTAAGAATTAGGAAATTCTCTTACATAACCACGGTATAGGTACGAACTTCTATAAATTTAACATGGACACAGTACCTGTATCTAATGTATCCTAAAGGGATGTTTTTAAGGATGTTAATTTTGGACACTGTGATAGGAGACATCATAGCGGGGGCCCAGCTTCCTCCTTCTGTTCACAGCCACTGACCCTTGGAACGTGCACCCCCTTCATCTAGCTCAGAAGCAATGACTTTCTTCGCTTTATCTGTTTCCTCAACCTCAGAATCTTTTAAGGCAATTGAGTCTTTTCTTAAAACCTCCTCTGATGCAGGGATGAAGGGCACCAACTAAAAGCAAACTGAATTGTGGGATTTTTAGTTCATTTAACCATTCTCTTCTTTATGCTTCTCATTGTCTGTTTTATGACAGACAATGAGGAGTAAGGCTACAATATTGTAACTATTATCATGATTTATTGGTAACCAATTTACTTTAGGGTCAGAATAACTTTTAATCTTGCTGTCCAATATGAGTTATTAAAATAAAATGTTAGGACAAGCCCCTTACATTAATGGTTTTCTCCTTCCTTCCTTCTCCCCTTCCTTCCACAAAATTTGCTAAACCTGTACTACATGCCAGGTCTGAGTCAGGAACTGGAGGTACAATGATGAATCGGACCCCTTTCCTGCCTTCAGGCATCTCAAGCCTCATGGGGAAGACAGACAAGTAGATGGACAGGGGCCTTACAGTGCCCATATGGATGCACATGTAGGCACTCTGGTGGGACCATGGAAACTAAGGCAAGGAGGCAAGTGGACTGACCTCAGGATTCCATTTCCATAATATCACCCAATCACAGAGAGTCACTCAACAATGCTGGCCACTGTGCTGAGTCTGATGCTGCAGAAATGTACAGTGGGCATGCCCTCTTCTTTCACAGAGCTTATTGTCTATTGGGGAGACAGACATTAATTTAACTAACATGTTTCAGGTGCCTGTCATGTGCAAGGCAATCTGGGAGTGGGGAGAATAGAAGACATGAGTCCTTTCTCGTTTATTTGGGAGGAAACTCGGTGTCCAAGGCCAACCATGGACAAGAGCAAATAAGTATTCCAGACAACATCTCCCTCCCAGAAGAGCAAAGAAAGCACCCTGCAAACTGAGCTTCTCTAACACCTCAAAGATGCGAGGCTTTGGATGGCCCTGAAGGAGGAGGAGACTTTCTTTATAAAGCATGTAGAATTTTATTTTTAAATTAGCTGTGGGAATATTAATATAGGCAGATGGTTTAAAAAAATTTCAAACAGTAAAACATAAAAATGTTTCCCATCCTAGCCCCCAGGCACTCAGTTCCCTCCTGAGGGGAAATCACTACTAAGGGTTTCTTTTACCTCCTTGCAGAGAATGTGTACAAATATATGCACACATAGACATCCCCCTCCCTGTTTTATGCACATAGCTCTGCTTCTTGCTTTTTCAACTTAAACGATACATGATGGCTGAACTCTTCCAATGACTGCATAGCAGGGGTGAAGCACACCATGTTTAAGTAGCCCCCCACTGACAGAATTTATGAAGCTTCTAGCCCTTTGCTGTAACAAACAATGTTGTAATGCACTGGGGAGTAAAATGAGGAGGAATAAAATTGTACATAAAATATATAATATGGTCAAGGTCAAATATTATTTTAGAAATAGGTAGATTTAACAATCTGTGGAAAACAGATTTGCACCAAAACTCAGCCCTGAATGTGCAAGGACAGTGGAAAAAGACCACGGGTCAGTTTATCACCGACTGGGTTTACAAGATATAGAGGAAAGTAAATGTCTGGTCCTTAGCATAATATTGTTCATAGAGGCGTAATATGGTTTGCACATACTTGGAAGAAAATCAGCTAGCATCAGGGTCATCCTCAGGGAAAAACAGCACAGACACAAAGCCATTTCTAGATGGGAATGACAAAATCATCTTAGGAGGTGCATGTACAAGCCTAATTTGGACAAAGAGGTGGTTGTCCCTGCAGGACAACTTGAGAATGATACAGATTATTCCAAGGGAGGTAGTAGGAGAGGTGAAGATGGGGAATAGAAGCAGGGGGAGTTTGGGGGGTTACATAATAAGTAAACATGTGCACAAGGGTTTGAGTGCTCTCGGGGTTCAGCAGGCCTATGGTTTCTCCAACCTGCTGGCCAGCTCAGCCTGGTTGTTCATCGCAAGTTGTGCTGCTGCCCCTGTGCTACTAACCCGTTGGCACTGCTGCCTGGGGAAAACCAAGGACCAGGAGAAGGCCACCCTCCTGGTTCTAGAAGAGAAGACTGGCACCAGAGCCATCTGGGTGACCCCTGATTAGCAGCTCCCCTGCCTTTTTTATATCCTTCAGTGGACAGTCCTCACAACGTGATTCTTGTAGGAAAATAATCCCAGAAGTAGAATTTCTAGGTCAAAAGTATATGCAATTTTATATTTTTGAAAGGCAATATAAAAGTTCCCTCCAAAGAGATTTATACTAGTTTATATTCCCCCCTGCAATACCCCCTCTAACTCAGTATGTTATCAAACTCTTGGATCTTTGACCATATGATGAATTATTTCTGAAAAACAAAGTCTTAATTTGCATTTCTCTTATTATGAGTGAAGCTTAATATCTTTTCTTATGTTTAAAAGCCATCTGCTAGGGTTTTTGGGTTTTGTTTTTTTTTTTCCCCTTTACAAGCTGTTGGTTCATGTCTTTTGTTGACATGAACTATTAAGTTAATGATCATTTTCTTATTTACAGGAGCCCTTTAAGGAAATCAGGTCTTTGCTGATAAGTTACAATTTTTCCCCCAGTTTGTTATTTCTCTGTTGACTTTGATGGTATTTTCCTTTTCCAGAAATTTTACATCCAGAAATTTATTATCTTTTCCCCACTGATTTGAAGCTCTATCTTTACCCTATGGAAAAATGGACAAGTAAATTCCTTAAAAGAGAACAGAGCAAGCCAGATAAGCCAGTTCAGCTGGAAGGGAGGGTGTATGTAGAAAATAAGATAGCAAAGGTCTTGGCTCCCTGAGCCCGAGGATTCTGCAAGCAGGAGCCAGGAATGACTGCAGAAATTGCAGGCGCAGGTTTAGATTTGTTCAGTCCCTCAAGACCATATGTTTGATTTGCCTGGAAATCTATCATTGCAGACACTGGTCAACTGGGAAGGTGATGTCCTTGTGTGTGTGCAAAAAGGAGAAAAAGAGAACCGAGGCTGGAAGCAGTGGGTTGAGGGGGACAAGCTGTACCTGGTAAGTCCTGGGGTTTGCCCAGCTCCCTTCCACTCTGCTCACACAAACTACCATGGTCACCTAGCGGGGTCCTTTGACAAGAAAAATGGCCTCAAGCTTTTCCCCTGAGCTCCAGCCAAATGTGTGTGGTCATATAGTCAGAAGGCCATTCCCATCTGGCTCAGGGAACTCCAGGAAGAAATCTATATATATGGCCATTTCTGTGAATGGCTGCAATTAAAAAGAAAGTTCAAAATGCTGAGTTAGGAAGCCAAGATCCAAGGAGAAATGCAAGGAACCTGTTAAAGATCAGCTGGGGACATATGTGAGCCATAGGATTTAGATGCCCTCTCACAGTTATGGGAGCCTGGAAGGAAGGGGGCGTGGGGAGGAGAAGGGGCAGCTGGGCCTGGGAACTGCCTCAGGCATTGACCTCTCTCTGTGACGTGTGTCTGCCTGACCCCCAAATATTTTAGGTTAATTTGGTACTAGAACAGAGCGGTGGGAACAATAGCTGATATCCTTAAATAATTTATGTCTGTCTAGACAGCTTAGTTTTTCATTCTTCAATCTTCAAGGTAATTTATGGATCCAGCATTCAAATGGTGAAAAATCTTTCATTCCTACATGCATTCAGTCATTCATTTGTAAATGAATGTCTCATTCGATCAATAGCCCTTTCTTCCTTCATTCATTCATTCACCTGTAGAGTCCGTGTCAGTGGCTCCAGTGTCAGTGTTCCTGGTGCCACAGTGCCCTTCAGAGCCAGCCTTGCTTCATCTGAGATCTTTATTTCGGAGGCAATGTCAGCTGATGATATATGGGAGGCATTCACCATGTTTTCCATTGACGATTTTCCCTACCTGCTCTGGTTAGATGATGGATTTTTTTAATTGTAATACAATCCCCAGTGGTCCCTGTGGCTGAGACAATGGATCCATCATCAGCCGCATGACTGTGGTGGTTGTCCCCATACTCATGTTTTTCCCTCCTCCTTCAAGGGTCAGAGAGGGTCAAATAAGGCCTGGGTCTCCCTTTGTCCATATGAAAAACAGCACCTGTGGCTGTACAGGCAGGCCTAAGGGCGCTCTTCTGCAGGCCACACCAGCCATTTCCTGTGCCTCCACCAGCCTATATTCTAATCACCAGAGGACAGAAAGCCCACAGGTTGGGGACAGCTCCCCAGCCCGCATCTTCCAGGCCCTTACCTGCCAAACACTTCTCCACTCTAGATCCTTCCCTTCCTCATGGCTTTGCTGCCTTTTGTAAATTAGGCGATGTTGTTTTAATCATAAGAGTAGGAGAAATCCCACCCGAGAGGGTCATTTCTTTGCATTTTTCATTTTTATAGTTGTTCAGGCTCAATTCACGTGTCAAAATTGAATTACTGCTACCTGCAGGGCATGCCAGCTGAGGGGTCTGTGAGGTGCCCTTTGCCCAGAATGACTAAGTGTCTTTTTTATTCCGACCTGCCATCCCCAGACACCGGGAGGGCCAGCAGCTGGGCAGACGGAAGCCCTGGCTTGTTGGCCTCTCATCCACTTTCTGATGTTGCAGGAGCTGACCTGTGGCGACCAGGTGTGCCGTCAAGTGTTCAAAAAGAAGTGATGGCCTCGCGGGAGGCCTGCTGGTCACGTGCTCCCCACTTCCTTCCCAGAGCGCTCCGCTGGCCTTGGGAAGCAGCTGTGGGGACCTCCCACTCCTGACAGAGCCCCATCAAGGCATCTGGATGGGTTTTAAACAGAATGGCAGTGAAGCAGTGACAGACATGTTCTTCCTCCTTTGAAACCTAGCATTAAATTAAAAAACAAAAATCACTCCTGTACTTTGAAACTTTTTATATCTGTCTCCCTTTATTTCTAGAGCTGTCAGAAGAGGTGACTGCCTGCTTGGTTGTTTTGCATGGCTTCATTGTTGTTGTTTGTCATTCTTGTTTCATTTTATTTTATTTTTTCATGTTTGTTTGTTTGTTGGGGTTATGGATGGAGGCCTGTTTTACCTGGAAGCATTCTCTGGCAAACACAGCATTGCCTACTGACTCCTGAACTTCCCTCATTTGAGATTCCTTCCTTTGAACAGCACGTTATTTCTCAAAAATTCTATTTTAAGATGCATATGACTTCTAGTTTACACCTTGCCCTGAACAGCTCGGGCAGAGATATCCCCAGAAGCTTCAGCAGCTCTGCAGTGCCAGCTGCTCTTGGCCCAGGCCAGCCCTCTGCCCTTCAGCCTTGTGCTGCAGAGTCACTGAGCACGTGTCTGCTCAGCCTTAGTGTGGCTTGTCAACCACTGCCCCATGCAGGACTCTGCAGGCTCTGGGGCCAGGAAGCCTGAGTTCAAGTCCTGGCACTCTGCTTTTTAGCCAGGTGACCATGGGACTGGCATTTGGCCTCTCCGTCCTCATTTTCCTCTCCTATAAAATAGAGGAGAGATAAAACTATCATCTCCTCCACCGGGTCACTGTGAGGACTAAGCAATTTAATATCCTCAAAACACTTGGAATGGGTCCTTGTACGTGGTAAAGGCTCAGGCCCTGTTATCTCTGAGCCTCATGCTAAAATACTCCCTCCACGATCTCAGGGGTCCAGGTGAGCGGGTGCTAAATGGCAATAAGTCAGTACCTCCATGGCCTACTGGTGTTTTCAGAACCTTAGGTTTATTACTCTGAGCAGAAGTGCACTTTGCTGCTGCATACACAAATGAAATAACGTACCTGGAAGGGCATCGTGGTTAATGAGGATGGATTTGTGATGGATCTTTCACAGGGTCCTGAGTCCATAGGGGCCTATAGGTCAAAGCCATCTCCTTCATTCCTCTGCAGAGGGACTGGAATCCCACCATTAGGCAAGAATGTCCTTTGAAAAGCAGGTGTATCCCAAGAGGGTAGCGCATGGTGTTAGCACCATGTGTGATTTGAATGATCAGATCTTTCCATTGACCCCGAGCATCGTAAATGGGGCTGAGAGGATGGCTAGAAAGGCTGCAATCTGGCCATGTGGCTCAGGGCCAACCTCCGCTCAAATCCTCTGACCAAGCTGCCATGCCACAGGCCTCCTAGCAAGCTGTGGTCCCAAATGACCATGCCACGTTCCTGCAGCAGGAAAGCCAGGAAAGCGCCTAGCTGGAGCCTTGTGCCAGCTGGGGAAAAGATGGGGGCTAAGCACACTCCCTGGTGCCCCCTGAGTCTCACCCTTGCTCCCTGAGCAGCCTCAATGACCCTCTCTTTTGCCCCTGAAGAAAACCCTCTTGCACAAGATGTCTGAAGCCCACTGGGAACTGGGAAGTGTTCTGCCCAGGGAAGGGATAGTATTTATTTGTGACTTTTGATCCTGGGTTTCTGGAAGGCGTTAGTCCCCCAGGATTCTGTGGAAAGGTTCATAGACAAAGTAACTTTAGAAATTTGGAGAACTGTATCCCCTTCCTAGAACTTCACAATGAGAATTAGTATTTTTAAAGCTCTGAAAAATCCGGCAGCAAATAATCCCAGCCTGAAACCCTGGGATCCCTTTCACCCAACAGAGTTTCACTCCACGGGGTGTTTTGGAAGCACCATACTCATTTCCCACATGTGCGTACCACTTTTTCCATTATGAATAACAAACAGTATAATTTAAAACTCTCTTTTTTCGAGTGGGATACTCTCAGTATATTCTTTCCACAAATGAAAAGTGACTGAATGAATTAGTTTACCTGTAGCGTGATATAGTGGCTGTATTCTGCTACTCATAATTCTTTCTCCAAAAAGATGCATCTAAACTCAATTTTGAGCTCCCACTTGAAAGCCAGGTAGCTATTTGGGCCAGGGCCTCCCTTCTGTTTCTCACTGTGGACAGGGTAAGTCATCACCTGCCTCATATTTCTATTTCCTTGGCCTGTTTCAAAGCCAAACCATGGCAGGAATGCTTCGCTCCAGCACCAACAAGCCTAGGTGGGAACAGAATGGAAAAGATGACTTTTTAATTCCCATCTGGGCTTGTACTAGGGGTGGAGGGGGGGTGCGGTCTGGTGGGAAAAACTCTCAGAATCACAGAACCCAGCCCCTGGGGGTATCATGAGAAAGCTTGGACTTAGCTATCAGCCAGGGCAGGGCTATTCTTGCAAGTTAAAGAAAACTTGTGCCAAGAAAGTCCAGGCTCACAAATGGGCAACACTTCAGGGCGGCTCCAGCATGGACTTTGTCATCAGCCCTTGGTTCAAACCTTGGTACTCTCCAGCTGTGTGACTACACGGCAGTTACTTGTCCTCTCTGGGCCTCTATTTTCTCATCTATGAAATGAGAACCATAGAACCTGCTGCATAGGGGGTAGTGAGGATTGAATAAGATCCCAGCACAGTGCCTGAAACAGTCAATTCTCTCTCTCTCTCTCTCTCTCTCTCTCTCTCTCTCTCTCTCTCTCTCTCACACACACACACACACACACACACAAACATACACATTCTCCCTCATGTATATATATATATATATAAAATGAGGTGGTGATTCCCTTTATGAAAACTCTTCACTTTCTAAAAGCTTTAACACTGTGATTCTTTACTATGGTCATTTCAAACTTGAAGATCAAAGAGAAGGACTTATTGAAGACGCAGATTTCTTCCCACTCACCAGCTCTGGCTCTGAGGTCAGGGACAGGGCCCAGGAACCTGTACCGCTGCAAGCTCCTCAGGTGAGCCCCCTGCAGGTGCTTGGCAAGCACACTGGCAAACCCTGCCTTGTTCATTTAAAACATGATCATTTTAAAACATGTATTCACCCCCTTACGCATACCCACACTCTCAAGCAAAAGCCCAAGTCCATCTCCACAGGTGGGCGAAGCTAGGTTAGATGGTATCAAATGTCATGAGAACCGTTCACATGTCTCTCTGCTGATGCAGTATCGGGGCCCCTGCCTGTGCCCCATGAGTCCTGCAAGAGAAGCGATGTTGCCTTCTCTGCAGCAGCTTTGCGATGGGGGAGGTGTTCGGGCGCAGGACCATGGCCGCGGGTGGCGGGACAGGGTATAGTGGAGAAGGAACTAGCACAAGCAAAGGCACAAGGCAGAAAAAGGCAAAGAGGGTGGGGACAAGTGGGAGTGTGGCCACCAGCCTGTGGTGGAAGGAGGGAAGGCCAGGGGCTGTCGTCTCAGACTAGGGTAGGTTGGGAACACCTCGCTTGGCCTCGGCCAGTGCGCCCTGGGAGCCAGCGCAGGCTTCTGAGCGGAGTGATCTGATCAGGGATGTTGGAGCTCAGAAAATGATACACCCAAAGTGTGCTGCTGTGGCGTGCTCAGTACTTAGAACTACAGAGCATTGGAAGGCCTCAGAAACAGCTCAGAACCAAGGTCTCACCGACCTCCTGCCCTCACCCCTCATTTTCCCCTAAAGCGAGTCGTAGAAACCAGAATTCCTCTTGTCCTAGGTGGGTCGTAAAAACTAGAACCCCTCTCCTCCAATGCCAGCCACAAAGCCTGGAAATATCACGCTAACCTTCTCTTGCCTTTCTGTCTAGGAAAAGACTTAGCCTAGTCTGATATTAGGTCATAAGACCTTCCTTCCAGAAGGATCCTACCCCATACCTGGGAAGAGAAAATGCTACAACAGAGAGGCCAAGAAGACCCTAACAGACAGTACTCCCTGGGTTTCCCCACTCAGTCTGTTACCGTTAGATCACACCTTTTTTGTCCGATCACATTTCTGCCCACTCTTCTTTGGGTCTTCATTTCCAAAGGCTTCTGTATCACAGAAAACTTTGATTAAATGAATTTGTTATTCTTTCCTCTTGTTAACGTGTCTTTTGTTCTAAGAGTATTGGCCATGACCCTCGTATGGGAAGGAGAGGGATCTCACCCTTTCATCCCTACAGGGACATGGCCCAGGAAAGCACTCCAGCCATCGTTGGCAGGAGAGATGAGCGTGGGGAGAGGGACCCAGACTCAAGTAGCTCAGGGGTGAAGCACTGAGGGACTCATATCAGGGCTGGGGAGTGGTCACGGGAAGAAAGGGAAGAACAAGAGAGGTGCTTGGAGGAGCTGCTGCCCGGGGCAACAAGAGCATGAAGCTCACAGGGAGGTGAGGACAGAGATGGTTGTGGATTTGAGGAAGGGGGAGAAGGACGGTCCTCAACACAGCTCAGCAGTGGCAGGGGCAGAGGGGGATGCCAGAGGGAAGATCATGGGTTTGGGTTAGGCCTGTTCATGTGAGGCGACAGAGCAATGATCACAAAGGCCAGTGTGTCCTGTCCCCCTCGCCCACTGCCACCCTCCAATAACCAAGCCTTGCTCTCTTCAGGAACCTAACAGCCCCTGCCAGCCTCGGAGGGAGGGAGGCCTTGGCCAGGACCAGAGCTGATGGGGCAGTCAGCCTGCTGCAGCCAGTTTTGAGGCTGGGAGATGACAATGTAACCAGGGTAAGGAGAATAAGAGAGGAAGGGAGGGGAGAGTGGGAGAGAAGAGAAAGGAGGAAGAGAGAGAACAGGAGAGAGAGAGGAAAGGGAGGAGACAGAGAGGTAGAGAAGAAGGGAGGAGAGGAGCGAGGGGAGAGGGGGAGAGAGTGGAATAAGTGAGAAGAATGGAGGGGGGTAAGGAGGTTTCTCTAGTTTTTGTTGCTTTTCTCCAAAGCACAGGAAGATTCATTTAAAAACAACTAGGCAATCAAGGCATCACTAGTGCACCCACAGGAGGCTTGGCCTGGACCCTTAACTGGTCCTGAAGGCAAAGAAATGATCCAGATTATAGGCTTAACCCTTTGTTAAGCACCTCCTCTGTCCTTATGAGAGCTCTCTCCAGGATTACAAAGTAGGTGCTCATTTTACGGATGAGGAAACTGAGGCTCAGACCAGGTCAAACATTCATCCAAGATCCCCTA